AGCTCCGGGCGGCGGGAAATGACTTTATACGCAGGCGCACAACCGCCGGCCGCGGGCCGGTTTAGTTGCACGCGCGCAGGCGCATTTACCACAGCCACGCACTCAGGACAGCTGCGTGTTCTCCGAAGCGTACATGCGCGCGGGAGTCAGGCATGCGCCACTAGGGTTAGCGCAAGCGCGGGGGCAGACGTTCTGTGCAGGCTGCGCAGGCTCCGCCACCTCCCTTCCCCAGCAAGGCTGGAAGGTTCCTTGTCACCGCGGGTGTTTTCATCCTGAATCTGAATTCCCTGAAGGCTGTCAGCCTCAGCACCATGAACGTTTTGGACTGTGCGTGTGTGCTGGGGAGGGGGTGGGGTGCTGCTCTGTGCACTGTAGGATGTGAGGCCGCATCCGTGGGCGCTGCCCATTACAAGCCAGTGGTACTGCGTGTCCCCAGCTGTGACAACCAGAAACGTCTCTAGACCTTGTTAGATGTCTCCCAGGCTGGGGGAGGTCTGGCAGATGCCCCTGGACCAGGGCCACTACCATAGCATATGATTATTTTTTTTTTAAGAGTTTTTGCTGTAGGGCGCATGCGCTCGCCAGAGACAGACATATAGAAAGCGAGAAATCACCCCCCAGGGGGGATGGCCATGCCACAATCCCTTCTCCATTCCCCTCTTCGGATCTTGGGCATGCACGCACACACACCCAGTGTGAGTTTAAGCCACCGGCTCTGGGACGCAAACCGCAGTCGACTACATAGGAGTCCAGCGACATAGCCATTATGCTAACTGCTGGTCCCAGAACGTGATTCTTGACCTAGACTGGAGAGAACAAACTAGGGAGCTCTTAAAAGGCATGGGTGGTGGATGCCCATCCCAGAAAAATTCCGTCCATATCTGCACGTGGGGCTCTGGAAGTTTTTCCCTTTGTTTTGTTTTTTAATACTTCCAGGGTGACTTGCAAGTGCAGCTGGAGTTGAAACACTGGTTAAGACAGTTCGCATTTTACAAGCTTTGAAACATCAGAGGAAAGTAGTTTTGGGCCTGAGCTCTAGAATTGCCCAGACCTGGGGTGTATTCATAGCTCTCCTCGTCACAGGACTGTGTCCCTGGGTTTCGTCTTGTTTCAAGTTGCACAAAAAGAAGCCTGGACCTTAGCTGGTGGTGTGGTGATTAAGGTAGCCGGATCCCACATGGATGACTGAGCAGTTCCAGTCCCAGACCTGGGGGTTGAAAGACATACTGGGTGCCTGTGTGTGTGTGCCCAAGATCCCCAGAGAACGGAGAAAGGATTGTGGCGTGGTCATTCTCCCTGGGGGTGCTTTCTCTGTCTCTCTCTCTCTCTCCCCCTCCTCCGTCTCTCCCCAGCAACTGTACACGTTCTATAGTAAATTTAAGTAAAAATGAGTAAGTCTGGCCCTTTCCCAGGTTTGGGAAAGATCAGATGAGATTACACAGTATGCACTATTTATTAACCAGTGGGAGCTTACTGTTTCTTTCTTGCAAATAGGCTCCAAAGGACACACTTCATAAAGTAGCTCTTGGTCACCTCTCCTAAGGTTTCTTCTCAGACCTTAATTTATGGCACTTGGCCCTGCCACTTGTAAGACCTTGGACAAGTCAATGAGCCATCCTATGCTTTCGTTTCCTACCTTATCCCTTCACAGGGCTTCTGGGAAGACCATAAAGCACCCAGCACTTTATGTGTCAGCTTTTTTTTTTTCCCACTCTGATTGTTTACCATTAATGCAATTTGAAACAAAAACATTACATAAGAAGGCTTCATACCTTTAGAGATCCTTTGATTGTCCCACCCCTAGCATCCCAGTTCAAGTAACCAAGGTACTGCAGTGTGGTGTGAAAATGCGAACATGCATTTTAAACACCTAAGTCACACTAGACTCCTCTTAGGCTTAAACCTTGAGATAAGACCCATTTTCTTATCCAGAGGAGGCTTGGAAAGGGGCTGAACAGGGCCTGCTCCATCTACTTCTCTACTGCCCCCACTGGCTGGGCCTCAGCTGCTCCATGCTTTGGAACACAGAGGTGCATTCCCACCACAGGGTTATTAGGACTGTAGGTCCTTATCTGCAGCTCACTTCTCTCTGCTCTCCCTGGAGTTGCTTCCTCTCCTCTTTAGAAATGTTTTTGTTTTGGGACCAGCAGTTAGTGTAATGGCTATGTCGCTGGACTCCCATGTAGTTGACCGCGGTTCGCGTCCCGGACCCGGTGGCTTAAAACTCACGCTGAGCGCATGTGCGTGCATGCCCAAGATCCTGAGAGGAGAATGGAGGAGAAGGGATTGCAGCGTGACCATCCCCCCTGGGGGCTGATTTCTCGCTTTCTGTATCTCTGTCTCTGTCTGTCTGGCGAGCGCACGCACTCTGTAGCGAAAACCTCACCAAAAAAAATAAAAATAAAAATAGAAAAGAAAAGAAAAGAAAGAAATGCTTTTGTTTTGACCCAGCCTGGTGGTGCAGTCGGTAGCAAACTGAACTGCGGTGCTGGAAGCCACATGGCCCATCGCAGGTTTAAATCTCTGGGTGGCCTGGAAACACCAGGCATGTGTGCATGTGCCCAAGATCCTGACAAGCTGGAGGCTGGGGGAAAGGGAGTTGCAGCATGGTGAGACCCTGTTAGAGGGCTCCTCCCTCTTGTGCACATGTATATATTATCATGAATAAAAAATAAACTTTATTTATTTCTTCCATGTGCAAGAGAGACGGTGGGCAAGGGAGAGACAGACAGCATCTGCACAGGGTCTCAATGCCATACTCCATGCCCAGCCAGCCCAGGATCATGGGCACACGTATGCCCAGTGTACTCCTGGTTTGTACACAAACCAGGAACCCTCTGCGTGTCAGCCTTGCAGAGCATCATGTTTAACTGCTATGCTGCCGTGGAGCCTCTCCTATCCCTAGACCTGACCTGAGCGCTTCCCTCTCCCATGCAGTCCTCCTCCCTGTCATCACTATCTCAGCATCCTTGCTGCTTTCTCCAGGGCACTGTCCTCCCCAAGGCACAAGGGAACCTGGGTGCAATGCCTTTGTTCTTCATTCCGATTAGGCCTACACCTCAAGAGACCACGCACACAGTAGATGCCTCCGGGTTAAGTAGCTGTCGTGATTATTAACAACATAATGGTACAGAAGGCTAATCACCCACCTACTTCACCAGGCAGCCTCTCCCACCAGTCCCGTGAGGGCCTCCTCACGGCCACACTCAGCTGCGCTAGTGCCCAGGAAACGCCAGGCTATTTGAGCCCTTTTTGTACATTCTGTTCCCTTGTTTGGAGGACTTCTGTTTACTTTTTTTTTT